GGTGTTTTTGTACAGACAGCACTTCAGACAGCAAGTATGCTGTAGTCGGCAATCATTCGTTTTGGTACAGAGTGGGACAGGTAGGGGGTGATGTTGCTGTAGTCGAACGGTGAGACGGACGTGTAGTTCAGTTTTGGGCACGCGTACGGTGCTGCAGGGATTATATATAGGTGTAGTAGTACCTCTTCGGGCTCTTGGATACCTTTTTCTTGCTACGTGTGCGTGTTCTTTAGATCCTCAGATGGCTCTAGCACTTTCGTGACCACGGGCTGAGAGTCTTTGCTAGATTTTGGCATTTAGCAACTGGCATACGGTTTAATGTGAAGTCAACAACAACAACAACAACTCACAGTTAGAAACTCGCGAAGCTTAGGCACGGTCCACTTGGTGTAATCTTCAGTCTCCCCCGGGAGTCTGCTGAAGCCGTGTGCGCGGTAGTTGTTTGTTTCTTGAGGACCTCGAGCGCGAGACGTCCTGCTGCTAGCATTCGGGGGGCGACTACTAGCTATCTCGGGTGTTACCTTTTTCTTCGGCCTGCTAGCATCCTCGCCTGCCGCCTGCCCCTTCGCTTGTGCTGTACCCAGCGGTGGGTCCCATTCGCCCCCGGTCAGCGGACAGACATCCCCCCGGGCCACGCCGGACGCCAGGGGGGATAGCTCCAATGTCCCTGTACGTGCGGGATGCGAGCATGACAATGAAGGCAGTTCAGGCGATAGAATATGCAACGCCGTAACTAAAGGTATCTGCTTTTACATCAGTTCAGCAGGTTTACACAATATGCAGTACAGCGGGAGCAGCGTAATCACGGGACGAGTACATCCCGATTGAGGTTGAAATCATATTTACTACAAATCTACTTGTAGGAAGCATGGAAATGTGTGAAGTTACAGCAGACCTCCTTGCTGCACGGAGACTCCAGTGTGTGTAAGGTCTCACTACTGGCGCCCGACTACGAGTAGGATGACGTCGGGAAACATTTCAAAAGCTGGTCTCCGGTATAAGGAGCATTCTTACACACACCCGCGGAACACTGACCTGTATGGCGGGTGATGTCCTCGCTGGTCGGCGCGCCGGACAAATGTTGGAGTTCGCCGCTCAGCGGGTTCCACACCACGGGCTGTGTAAACATGGTGTGGCAGGCGCGCAGTCGGATCTCAACCTCACGCCACGCAGCAGGCGTGTCCTCCTCCTTGGACTCCACCAGCAGTCTTGAGGCCAGGTCTCCAACAACCGCATCGAATGGTAGGAGAGATGTCGCCCAGACGCCGCTTGCGGCGTCAACGAAAGCTAGTCTTGCCGCAGTAACTGGTCCGACATTTTTGAATTTCGCGAAGTCGTTGCCTACGATCATGGCGAACAAGACAAGGCGGCGGCGGGCGGTCGGTTCTGGGAGAGGCGTGTAGTCTAAGCCCTCGTCAACTGGCGTGTGTATCCCGTGCAGCTGGCGCAGCCACCCATGAGCATCCCCACTCCGGAGGAAGGACCATGCGGTGGGTTGGAAGAGCAGCCTCTGCCGGACGCATCTTCCGATGAGCTCTCCTCTCGTGTTCTTGACCACTTCCACCAACAGATCCCGCACCCCAAGAACTGTTAAGTCAGAGTCATTGGCATACACGTACACGTTCGGCCCTGTTGCGAGATGGATGTCCTGGAAGACTACAAGCTGTGGATCCGCTTCGCCTGGGGCGATATAAACCTCCCCCCCGATACGGGCTCTCAAGCGCGTCGCGATCTCAGCGGTAACTCGACCGTCGAAAGCACAGGCGGCGCTGGCCAACTTGTTGACCTCCATTGGACAGCCACCGGCGGCGTGTAGAGCGCGCGCCTGTTGTGCACTCTTCTCCCTCCTCTCTCGTCGGTGTTGAGAAGTCCCACCCTTGGCCGGAGGCGGCTGACCGTCGAACACTACCGTCACTAGGAAATTGCGGTCTTCAAAGAGCTTCACCTCTCGGGCACACTCCTCTACTTGACGGGAGACGTCGTTGTTGAGAAGTAAATTTGCAGCCGCAACCCCTCTCAAACACATTCGAACCCGCCGTCGATGATGACATGATGTCTGGCTTGTCCGTTTTCAAGATCAATCCTGACCGAAGCCAAGCTCTTGGACAAGCGGGAGAGCGAATTGACTCCCATCCCAACCGAGGGGAAGAACGCGTGGGAGTGAAAAGAGTGGGAGAGAGGTCCCCAACAAGGACACAAGGACCAAGTTCGAGCATGCGACTAGACCGGTCTCTGTGT